CCTACAGAAACAAATGTGTGAAACATTAGTTTAGAAACAGAATTTGCAAACGTCAGCAACACAAAGTTCAAAGTCAAAACTAAGATTCCTGCAAAGGAGAAAAACATTATGGGTTTTGGTGGCTGACATTAGAGAATGTTAGCTTGCTTGCTAACGTGGACAAATTGCTGTCCAAAGAAGCCAAAAGGTCAGCTGATTGATCCAGACTCCCAGGGCTGATCTGGCTGGTGGATTTACTGGCTTGCTGTTTGCAGGTTACTTTGGTGGCGTGAGTGGGCCATGCCAGCGTTTTATGACTATATATATTTATTATATGTATTATTTACCATGTAATATCAATAAAATTATAATTTTTGAAATTATGAAATATCATGCTGGGCAGCTAGCTTTTTTTCCATGACAATGTGTTTTAGTTTATATCTCTCCTGTCATTTTCTTTTCTTTAATTAATGGTAATGTTTGTATCTGCTCCTGTGTATAATTTGTGTGTATTAATAGACAATGAAAGAATAAAAGCTGATGTAGATTCTCATCACAATAAAGAATGAACAATGTAAAAATCAGTTTTTCTGCCCTGTCATGACTCAAGCTGTCCACAGATAACTGAAAAACCAGAGACCACCAAACAATTTTCAGGGTATATATCCTCCACTTTGCCCAGATCTCTCTCAGTATAAAATAATAATAATAATAATAATCTTTATTTGTAGAGCACTTTTCAAAAACAAGTTACAAAGTGCTTTAACAAGTGTAAAGACAATAATACAAAAACAATACAAGATAAAGCATGAAAACATTGAAAAGACTAAAATACACGTTTAAGTTAAATATAAAATTAGTAAAATACAATAAAATAAAAGGGATAAAATAAAGTCAAATAAGATCGGGAAAGGCTCTCCTATAAAAGTGTGTTTTAAGAAGGGACTTAAGAGTTCACTGACTCAGCCGACCTGATTTCCTCGGGCAGGCTGTTCCAGAGCCTCGGGGCCCTGACAGCAAACGCTCTGTCCCCTTTAGTTTTCAGTCGAGACTCTGGAACAGACAACAGACCTCTGCCCGAGGATCTCAAGGTACGTGCTGGTGCGTATGGGACTAAAAGGTCAGAAATATAACAAGGCGAGAGGCCATGAAGAGCTTTAAAAGTGATCAATAGAATTTTAAAGTCAATTCTAAAACATACTGGGAGCCAGTGTAATGAAGCTAAAATAGGAGTAATGTGGTTATATTTCTTTGTTCTGGTTAAAAGGCTGGCTGCTGAGTTCTGGACAGTCTGGAGTCGATCAGTAGATTTTTGGGTTAAACAGGTGAAAAGGCTGTTGCAATAATAAAAATAATATATAATAATAATAATAAATATATAGGATATCAAGAGACTGTCTGATAAATATGTATATTAATGTCTCCACATTGACCAAATGACAACAGTGAACATCTGAAGAGAAACTGCATTTAAAGAGGAACAGTGGTCACAGCAGACAACAACACTGACTGTCTTTCCCTCCTCTTCAACCACAACCCCAGTTACTGTTTTTTTACAACTGCTTATACACACTTTCAAAACCATATTTCCTTTTTTCAAAACTCTACACACAAACCTTTTATTTATTTATTTATTTATTTATTTATAAGGACAACACACATTAATCAGCATTACTTTAAATGAGCCAGTGTTAGCCTGCTGACTAATTTTCAACTGCAGTCCTTCGGTAAGATGTTTTGAAACCTTAATGATAAAATGTACAGAACAAGTACAAATGCCTCATATGTCAAAATGAAACACTGCATTCAAAATACCATAAACACGTCCCAAAATCAAACATTTGCATCAAATGGCAAACACTTTTTCATAATAGTAAATTTTAGGATATATCAGTGCAAAGTTAAGCTTCAACCCACAAGACTTTCTCTTGCCAGACAGCAACATGTATTTTACAATACTGTAATGCTGAAATATTCATTAGATAGTTGCGTACCTGTTCTCATTTCTGAAGGTTCAAATTATGGACGCCACTGTAAAGCGATTCATTCTGGTCTGGACTCTCAGTTCACTTTCTCTCCTGGTTGATCACATGATCAATAAGTGTGGCGTTGATCATGTGATTTTTATTGCCCTTGTCCTCTTCTTCCTGTTCTTCCTTCCCCTCCTCTTTCTCTTCTTCCAACTCTTCCTCCTTAAACTTGTCCTTGTTGTCCTCGAACCTGCCTTTTCCTCCTACTCCCCTTGCTCTTTGTCCATTGTTGGCATCCATTGTTCAAAACAGGTAATCTGACCTTTGACCTATTCATAGGTCTACTGTATACTAAAGCAGTGATTGGTTAGAGATCAGTTAAGTAGTTAAGTGTAATTTATACTTCTGCGTCAAATCGACGGCGTAGCCTCTGCTCAGCCCCCTACCCTACGCCGTCACCTACAACGTAGCCTGACGTGCACCTCCTCAAAAATGTAACTACACGTCGAGGCGACGCGGACCATAAGCTCTGTGATTGGTCAGCTGTGTAGCCTTGTAATGCCTCAGAGCCGACAGGAAGTGCCCCGTGCTTTGAAGTAAATTTTACTAGCGGCCAAAGCAGCGGCTGTAACACAGTAGACTGATATATTTGACCGTCACAACCCGAGCGAAATGACTCACTATCTGAATGTGATCCATTCAGTCGATAACATTTGAAACGGCTACACCAGCCGCACATTTACGATTTCAACCCCATTCACTTTAGCGGAGGGCTAAACCGGAAGTTAGCCTGCTCAGCTGGCAAAAGTCAACACAGTGGACGCTGCAGCGCCACCGCCGACTGGCGTTTGGGGTGTAATTGCAGAATAATGCAGACACAGATGCAAAAGAATAAATGCATGGCTATGTGTGTAGCATAGGGCGTAGCTACGCACGTAGAGCCTACGCAGGAGTATAAATCAAGCTGCACATGTGAGGAGTGGGTGTGTGACCTGCTAAAGAAGCGTTTGATTGGTTGTGTTTGAAAAAGGAAGGCAAGTCACTTCCTGTTAGATTTTTATGTCTTAGGTAGAGAACTGTGTGTAGTGTTTTGAAAAAAGTATTTTATAAAAGTGTGTGAAAGGAGGAGAAATAACGGTTTTAGAGATTTCATGTGTATTTTTTTCTCTTTTAGTGAGAAGTTTCAAAAACTGTGTGACATGTAAAGATTTTGTGTGTAAGCAGTTGTGAAAAACTGTGATAAAAAATATTTATTACCATTCCCTGCCTGCCCACCAAGTTGTGTTCATACAAATTCAGATACAGCGACCGGTCAGTCAACTCTCCGCGGCGTGTCCATCATGCACCGCATGGCAGGAGCTCCTGCCTGTCACAGAAAATGAATAGGATCCGTCAACAGATCCAGTGTGGGCTGTAGTGAGTGGCATTCCTGACCCCGCCGCCACATTGAAAATGGACAATCCACAGCTAAGCACGGTCCAACTGTGTGTGTCTCCAGTTTATGACCTGAACCCCCTCAGACATTTTAAAGTGTGAACAAATATACAACACATTGTACATTCATGTACTAACAGTCTTATCAGGGTTTTTTTGATGGCTGTTTTATTGATTACTGCTGAAACAGTCTTACTTGTACTTTACTTGAGTATTTAAATTTTATAATTTTACTCCATTTCAGAAGGAAATATTGTACTTTTTACTCCACTGCATTTATTTAACATGTATAGTTACTAGTTGCTTTAAAAAAACAAAAACAAACATATGATATGTGGATATGATATAATGCAGTACAATACTAATCAATTATTATCATCAAGTTTTCTTCTATGCAGCATGATGTTGTGATTTAGTAAGTGTTAGATCCCGAGTCCCCCCTGTTCAGGAGGTACTGGTCCAGCTCTCCGTCTTAAAGGGTCCGATCCTCTAGGCCTATGGGTATTACCCTAGTAGGTATGACTGAGGACTGTTTAAGCTGGTGTCGAAGAGATTCGCCTGGCTTCTAACTGTCTACTTCCGAACGCCTACCCTGCTTACTCTGAGATAGCACCTGACTGAATAGCCCTAGAGCCAGATACCACCCCAGCCACGCCCGTTAACGACAGCTCTCTTCTCATTGATCAGTGCACTTGGTATAGTTGCCAGGTTGGTGTTTAGTGGCCAGGAAAATAGGCCCCAAGGATAAGTTAATTTCAGTGGCTAGAGCAACCTATAAGAACCTCAAAGATGTTAAACACACTTTACCTAACTGATTACTACCTTAGTGAGGAAATAACTTCAATGTCGACTATCATTCTTTAAATGCAGTGATTATATATTTTATTGCATAAAGTTAGCAAGGGCAAGCATACAACTAAAATTGATTAAAATTTAGTAAAAATAATAAAACTGTTTAAAATTCAAAACCTGATACGAATAGCTGAGCTTGAGTGTTTTTTGGTTATCTTCTTTTTGGAGAGTAAGGGAGGGGAAGGAGCTGTCCCGGCCGGTGAAATCCTTCCTCCGCTGCTGGGCTGACCCTGGTGGAAACTTGAGGCTTTGTCCAAAGCCCTCAAATTGTCTTCAAAAGTCTTCAGTCTTCATTGCATCATGAGTGAGAGAAAATCTTCAGAGTCCGACTTCTTTGCGACCTGATAGCAAGAGTGTTGGGATCTCATCTTATTTGACATAAGTTACGGTCCTGTTTAGAGTGAAATAGATGATAAAGAAAAAAAAAAAGGTGACATCACAGCAGCTACATCCACTTCTTTTATACAGTCTGTGGTTGTAAAATGACAAATAAATTAACCTTGATACCTTGAAATATCATGGTCACTGATTCTGATTGGCTGGAAGGTGTGGATCAACTTTTAGTAATCGGACAACATAAACAGACGCCTGTGATGATGATTGCAGTTCTATATAAATGCACCAGTACTGAACTGGACGTAAAGAAAACATTGAGGATTGTGTTACAACATACATGAATGTGCAGGAAACCTCAAACCCTGCAGTACAAATATAGATGATGATGGGGTGTGTGTGTGTGTGTGTGTGTGTGTGTGTTGTGTTTGGAGGAGGGACTCCATCATTTAAAGAAGTTAGAAGTTCCTGGTTTGTCAGTGAAGAAGTCAGAGAGGCAGCAGTAAACCATCAGAGCCTCAACATGAAAGTCCGTCACACTTTGATCTGCTTCTTCTTCCTCTGTGAGTATTCACTTTGGATTTCTGTCTCTCTCTCTTGTTATGTAGTTTTTCTTTATTTATTCTCATGAGTTAAATATGATGATCAGAGTCAGGTATGAGGCACTTTAATGGAAACGTTCACATTTTTTGAAGTCTGTACGAAAACAGTCCTCGCATAGAATGTGGATTTCAGCTCCATCTCTTTGAGAAGCTCTTTCACCGTACATATGAGCTTGTGAGGATAGTACATATCCTTTAAAATATAGTCCAGTACAAGTAAACTGCACACATATATAAGGAAAATGAAGGGCATAATCTTACACGGTTAGAAGAGAGTTGAATCCCAACATCTGAGAAGCTGGAACCAGCAACTGCTGTCATTTTGACCTGTGAAATCGCAAAAAAGAATAGTTGCCATTAAGTGATTAATTGTTGCAGCTCTACTTGTTTTCAAAGGTAAGATGACAGAGTTTGTGTGTTCTGTTGCTTCAGCCTGACTGTTGGTGGACTTTGTTGTAGCTTCACAAGATTTGATATAACTTCTGTATGAAGTAGATTTTACAGAAAGATATCACACAAACAGGAACAAAAGAAATGCATGGATTTAAGAATTGGATAAATAAACATGTATTTACTTCACATTAAATAATTTTTCTTAACCTACTGATCACTGTTTACACATCTAACAAATCCTGCTAAAGCTCTGATGTAAATACAGTCAGTCAGTTCTGTATTCTGATTAAACAGGAAGAAAGAGTTACAGAATGTTGAAAGTCTCACTGAACTCTTGTGGTTTGTGGCTTAAAAACTGACCTGAAAGTTTAAGTCTACAATATTTATGTTCACATTTTGTCTGGTTCTCCTTTTTAATGCTGATTTCAGTATTTCATAGTGTTTTGTTGGAGCTCTGTTACTGTTTGTTTTGCTGTATACTCTGATACAGTTTTCCACTTTGGTAGAGATTAATATTCATTTCTAAATGAATGTTATTACTGACGTGAAAACCTGTTTCATTATTGTTCAAACAGTTGTCCTTTTTTATGGCTCACTGTTGTATGAAAAGAGAAAAAGGAAGAAAGAAAAAAGAATCAGTTACTTTTTATAATTTACATTTGATTTATTGAAACCTTTATTTATACAGGGAAGAATAACAGATGATGGCTAAAAGAAGTACAGGAAAAACAAAACAGTAACATTCACCTGCAGTGCCAGTCTGTGATCCTCAGCCACAGACTGGTTGAACTGGGCAGCTCCCAGTGTGACGTGAAGCAGCAAATGTTGTGATCAGACTGCAGCATCTTACAGGAAGTTCAGACAGTAACTATTGTTGTTCATCTTTTCAACAGCTCTGCAGGATGGAAACACTGGTCTCACCAATGACCAAATCCCATCTGTCTATACAGGAACTGAAGGAGGAGATATCAGAGTTAGATGCGCCTTTTCTTCACCTGGAAGCTCGATGTTCTTTTGCAAGAGAGAATGTAAACGAGAGGACATCCTCATTCACACAACTGGTGTCAGAGATCAGAGAGGCAGATACAGCATCACATATGACAGAGCAGGAAATGTTTTCGTGAGCATCACACAGCTGACCAAGTCTGACTCAGGACTGTACAGATGTGGTCTGGGTGGATCAAACATCAGGTTTGAAATCATTGTTGTAGATGGTGAGTTTCTACTGAAAGTCATGAAAATGTTTTTTTCCTGTCTGAAGAAAAGCTTCACTGTTCACTGGTTCTGAAGTGAATGTTTTCTTTAACAGTTGTGGTTTATGAAGAGTATTTTTCCTTGTGTTCACCTGCAATCAAAGAATACTTAGACCACTTTTTCAATAGGCAAAGATCTATCATATTGTGTGCAGAGGCTGAGATTATGATGCTCTGAATCTTTGCTGGAAGAATCCAAATCAGTCACAGACTGGTAGAACTGGGCAGCTCCCAGTGTAACTGGGGATCACATTTGAAACTGTAATTATTGTGATCATCATGTTAAATACAGCCCACTAATACAGCAATTTATACTAGTTCCAGGTTGTGGATAGAGCCTCTGCAGTGGCCAGATGTAGATTTAGCCAGAGTCAGGATGCCATTGTGTCAAAATGTGCTCCTTCTAGCCGCCTCTTCCTGAGAGCAATAGGAGGAGGCCTTGTTCTATTTTACAACTGCTTTACCAAAGTTATTGTTTTAAATATTGTTCAGTAATCTTGTTTACATAAACTCATAACTGTGATGAGTGCTCAGTGTTTTAAAAAGCTGTGTCCATGTTGTAAAGGCTTTTTTCAATTTGTACAATTTTCAGGAAATCTGTTTCAATATTTTAAAAAGCTTTGACAATATTTTAAGGTCCAGTTTTTCATTTAGGAGCACATGTGCTCCATGGGAAAAGGGAATCATAGAGCCCTGTGAGGCCCTTTTGTGTTTTCATTTATATAATTCAGGGATATTCACAGCATTTCCCTTTCATATCACATTCTGACCGCCTAATTGTAGTCACTGTTGCACTGTTGATATTTTAAAGTAAGTGGTTGCGTAGTAGTAATTTTAGGATTCACTGTGTGTACCCTTATCTAAATGTAGTGGTATGTGAACAGTGGTAAGGTGGTGACCCAGGGCGGGGTGCCTGAATATTTCCCTTATTATTAAATCCAAATGTTAACAGGTATGACTCTACTGGCCTTTTCAACATCAGTCCTGTAAGCTCTCAGACTGTTCATTTAAAACAGGTTTAAACTCATTTATCTCATCAGGAATTCTGCGTGTTTTTGTTGTTCACAGCTCACGTAGTTCCCACTTCAAAACCAAAATTCACTCTACTGGTCTTTTCAACATCAGACCCATCAGCCTCCACACCAACACAGATTTCTCAGACTGACCAGCAGCAGACTGGGACAGCATCACCTCGAGGTACATCCACACACTGCCTGATAGATGAAAGTCTATAACTGAAAGCAATTCAATTCAATTTTATTTATATAGCGCCAAATCACAACAACAGTTATCTCACAGCGCTTTTCATAAAAGAGCAGGTCTAGACCGTACTCTGTGATGATATTTACAGAAGCCCAACAGTTCCCACCAAGAGCAGCACTAGGCGACAGAGGCAAGGAAAAACTTCCTTTTAAGAGGCAGAAACCTCGAGCAGAACCATGGCTCAGGGTGGGCGGCCATCTGCCTCGACCGGTTGGGGTGAGAGAGAGAGAGAGAGAGAGAGAGAGCGAGAGAGAGAGGGATGTAAGGAGAGAGAGAGGGGAGGGAGGCAGCCTACACAATATACACACAGAGGTACAGACAGCGAAGGTAATGTTGCTATAAACTAAATGAAAAATGGTACAGATATGTATAATAGTGTTAATGGTAACCATCGTAATGTTAATGATTATAATAACAATAAGACTAGCAACAATAGTCGTTGCAGCAGAGGGTGTCGAGCAGGAACACAGGGGCAGCAGGAGACCCGCAGCCACAGATCCAGACTCCACAGCTCCAGAGCCAGAAAACCTGCAGGAAGTGATAGGAGGAGAGAGGAGAGTTCATTTAAAACAGGTTTAAACTCATTTATCTCATCAGGACTTCTGCATGTTTTTGTTGTTCACAGCTCATGTAGTTCCCACTTCAAAACCAAAATTCACTCTACCGGTCTTTTCAACATCAGACCCATCAGCCTCCACACCAACACAGATTTCTCAGACTGACCAGCAGCAGACTGGGACAGCATCACCTCGAGGTACATCCACACTGTTTGATAGATAGAAAGTCTATAACTGAAAGCAATGACATGCAATTGTCCTTCCAGGACATAGCAAAGCATCTCAGCCAGTGGCTTTGGAGAAGGTCCCAGTCAGAGTCATGAAATCAGACTTTGTGTATTGTCTTGGTGTGCATGTGTGTGTGTGTGTTAATGAGGTGATACAATAGAGCTGCATGTTTTTCATGCAGGTATGAGTTTATAAAAGTGCATATATACTGTATTATTGCAAGACATAGCTCCATCAAACACAAATCACGTGAGCTTCAACAGCACACTTCAGTTAGTTTAGTTTGTACAACCGACCAATCGTGAGTCCTGTCTTTTTCTGTCTTGTATCTAACTTGTATCTTTCCAGAACCATCAGATCGGTGAGACTTTGGATCTTTGTAGTACAATATGAAGGACCAGAATGAGCAATGGCTGCAACAAAATCATTTGATTTGAACAAACTGTCCCTAGTTGAAGGCATTGTGCTCCAGAATCAGCTGAAGAATGATATACACATGATTCACCCAAGGTTAAGTAGTTTTCACTAGTGAGAGTTAGCATAACTGTTAGCAACTGTAGAAAACACTGTTTCTATGGTTACATATACATGCAGTACTGATTTAGAACAGTGTCGGCGTGTCCTGTAACATGATTTTATTGGATATCTGCCAGCCAATTGGAAATGGCTAAAAATGCTACTGTGTAAGAAAATTAAATACCTAATCGTGATCTGATACTTGTGTGTACCTTGATGAGCTCTGACTGAAAACCTTTGACCTACCCGATGAGAAAGAACACAGTTTGTTACAGAAAATTCTTCTCTTAAGGAATGGAGTCTACTTCAAAAAAAGATTCTTCTACTCTATTCTTTACATTTCAATTTATTAGCGAATAGCTCCTTGAGATGCAGCATCTCGTTTTCATGAGGGTCCAAAGACACACATGCATAATACAACAGAAAAAATCCAACCCTAGGACAGAAAATACAAAAACGCAGAATAAATACTTAAAACAACTGAGTTACAAAGCAGCTTGCACCCTCACCCCAGACCAATGACGACGAAAACAGAATTTTAAACATTTCCAATAAACTTTCAGCAAATTACAAAAAACTAAAAACTAAATCAAAAGACACATCATGGTTCAGACATGTCATATCTCGTACAATAAGTACATCACATATAGTTGAGAAAGACAAGTTATTGCATATCTCTAAGTGAATATGTAGAACTACAAGGAAACAAGAGTACTTTCAGATAAGGAGGACAATCGAAATTGGCACATTTGAAAATAAACTGAAACCAATTGAAGTCTCTTCCTGAATTAAGCTGAAGCCAATTTAGTGATTTATGCATTACACAATGATGAGTTTTAAAAGGACACCTCATAACAAATCTACACAGAGAGTTAAAGACCACATGAAGTGGGTTAAGAACAATGTCACTAGTATTCATGTAGATGATATCAGCCTAGTGTATAATGGGAAATATCATCTAAGACATTAACCTTTTCCTGACTTTAAATCTGAAACAATTAACAGATCTATAGAGTGAACTGAGACAACAATATGTTCTTTTTGTTATGTAATCAATGTGAGGTTTAAAGGTAAGCTCAGGATCGATCCACAGTCCAAGGTATTTAAATGAATCCAATTTCACCATGGAAGACCCATCTTCAAAATAAAGATGCAAATTAAGAGCACAAGGTGGTCATTTGTTATTGTGAAGCCATTTTTGCATCATAATAAAGTAGGCTTGAGTGGAACCTTGAGGAACCCCGTTATCAACCAATAAATCATCAGACAGTGAACCCTGAAGAGCAACTCACTATTGTGAAGTGTCTGTTGTGAAGACCATAACAGTGCACTTTGATTCAAACCTATTGTATAAAGCTTGTCAAGCCGGATATAATAATCCACCAATTTCAAAAGCTTTGGAAAGGTTGATAAAAATGGCACCAGCTAGCTGTCCCTTATCGAAGTGGGAGAAAACGTCATAGGTAAACTTTGATAAAGCTATGGTGATAGAAGAATTAGGCCTAAAGCCAGATAGATTTGAAGATAAGATGTTATTCTGAATAATGTATTGTGATAATTGAATAAAAATTATTATTCATGATCATCATTCATCAATTAAGAAGCATGTAAAACAAACGTTTTCTTCTCTCAACCTCACAGGTGTGCTGCAGTATGTTGTTCCTATTCTTGTCATCATTGTCATCCTCTCAGGGCTACCACTGATGATAATCTACATTCAGTGGAACAGCAAACCTAAAGGTGAAGCAACAGGAAACACGTACACAGCAACGCTAACAACTGGAACTTCCCAATTCTCATTAAAAATTACAGTTCAGTCAGGACACTCATGTCAAAGATTTCACCACTTGCAATAATACATACTGTAGTTTGACAGTGTGGCTCTGCTCATGTAATTCTCTGGAACACCTCTGAGCAACAGACTGTCCCGGAGGTCACACACCCACAAAATGTAATGAACAAGAAAGACATGTTAAAGAAATATACAAATCAACTAAATGCTAATACATGAGGAAGGTGGGGAGGTGGAAGGGCATTGCAGGGGCGCGCAGATAGAAATTTGGAAATACATAGCTTTCTTTCCTGCTGTTTGCAGTTTTTGTAAACCTACAGGCTACAGTGCGCTACTACGAGTTAGATCAGTTTAGAGACAACAGTATTTTGTAGCCATGCTAGGAGTGTGGCTCTAGAGATGACATTGTTAGTTGGTCAGTCCACCACTGTGGTCAACAACTAGTGGATCAATAGACGGGTTTCTGTGCAACGTCATCACCGCGATGCGCACGCTACCAGGGGACAGAAAGCAGCGCTCTGTCTTTGCGGCACATCAGTTTATATGGCATATCTAGCAGCAGTGTTTGGCAAATTACTCAGAAATTGTAATGAGTTAAATTTTAATTATTACTCATTTAAAAAGTAATAATAATACTAGGGCTGACCCCGAATAGTCGAAGATCGGATGCTTCAAGGCTGATTCGACTGTCAATCTCACAGTCGAAGCTTCGCAGTGAAACAAGGATCATGGCATTTTGGCGATATGGGGGTGCTCAACGTCTGATTTTACATAGAACTACCAGTTTTCTCCCAATACGTTAATATACAGCCTATTCCAATACACATTTCAACGTTTAATGCTGTAAATAAACATGTAAAAAGAAAAACCACTTTCAATAAATGTTGCCCCCCCCCCCCGGCTCGCAATCGCCGTGTACAAAAACACATATGATTTCGACTATCAGTCGACTATAGGCAGGCCTTGACGATTCTGATTCGACTATATAAATCCTTAGTCGGGAACAGGCCTAAAGATTACTTTACATATTACTGGATATTAAAAGTAAATAGTCACGTTGCTTGTTTCGTTACAATTACTTTCAACCACCGCACCCCATCCTTAAAAGTGACGGGAAACTTGTTCAGCAGTGCAGTTTAGCAATGAATCCACTTTACTGGAACAATAATTAACCAAGGAGTCAACAACCATCCGAACTGAAAACACTGCAGCCTCTCAGACCAGGTGATGCTGTATCATATAGGCTATGGATATAGGCTATTTAAAAATAATAAAAAAGCAGGTCCCTCCTGACAATTCAGCTAATCGCGTATTCAGAACAGCAGCAATGAGTATGAATTTTACGAAGCATTATGGTTTTTTTTACACCACTGTTGAGAATATCTCTTAATTGATGTAACAGGGAAAGCTTAGAGTAATGTAGCTGACCCCATAATTGTTTGTCATTATAGCTTTAGGTATTTGCACACGTACTTGTCCTCATCAGGAAGACAACAATAGGCTGATTAGTTAGAGACAGTAGCTCAGATGTCAGGCTAGCAGACATCAGTGTTCTCCGGGAATCTTACAAGGTTGAGCCATACAACAACTAACTGGCTCCACAGATTAGAGTACAACGAATGGATAGTGAGAGATTCCAATATGATGAAGCATTGGAGTCTAAACATCAGATAGTTAGTTGTTCTTAGTGAATGGTGACCTAATAGAGAAACCTACAGGCACTAGGGGGAAGACAGAAACATAAAAGGGACCAGGAGATGCTATCCTTCAGATTTGGTGTTGGCATTTGACGTGTTCACATGTTGTATGCTGGCACTGTATCTCCTCGGCCGGGCTCAATAAACCATGCTATGTTAAGTCTTCATCAGTCTCCGAAACTTTGGCACTCCTGAACCTGGCTCACAACAATATCATTTCAACAGCCACGGTGTGAGATTAAAAACAAATCAAGCAAGTGTCTCGACTTTTGAACTTACGTTAATGTTTTACACATGCGTTTATAAGAGAAGTAGCCTATTCAGTACTTTTACAAAACACAAAACGTTGATTAACACTACTCTCTCCTGCTGAGTAGATGCTTCACTGGCATATCACATTTGAGTTACAACATACAAGCATCAACTCAGCATCAAATACAGCAGGTCTACAACTGACCATACATACTAGTAAGAACAGCAATAAATGCTAGTAAGAGCTAATAGTACATATCGCATCAATGGGGTAAATACCTAGGGAAAGAATTAAGAGTTAACAAAAAACTGCAATCAATACAAGATAATTGTGAGGAGATAGAAGAAAAAGAGGTAGAGTTAGAGGTGTTGAGTTTTCAAGAGCTTCTTGAAGTTAGAGAGGGACGCCCCTGCTCTGATGGCGTGTGGTAGCTCATTCCACCATCGTGGTGTCAGCGATGAGCCGGGACTGGGATTGCTTTGCGTTCATTGGAGGAGCGTAGTGGCTGAGAAGGAACCATTTGTAGGGGTTTCACCGCACAAGCTGGAAGACCTGCTAGGAGGACATTGCAATAGTTGAGGCAAGAGATAACCATGGCCTGTACCAGAAGCTGGGTGGCATACTGAGTGAGGTAGGGCTTGAAAGACAGCTGGTCATCAATCCGAGTTTCTCACTACCCTGGTTGGAGTGCTGGTTGAGGAGTCAATTTGT